GTTATTGACATGAGCATTATAATAATACTGATATGTTATTGATATCAGTATTATTATAATAATGATATCAATAACATATCAGTGACATGTTATTGATATCATTATTATAATAATACTGATATGTTATTGATATCATTATTATATTAATACTGATATGTTATTGATATGAGTGTAAAATAGCAAAGACTTTTAAATTATCACCATCAACCGTGCATAACATCATCAAAAGATTCAGAGAATCTGGAACAATCGCTGTGCGTAAGGGTCAAGGCCGTAAAACTCTACTGGATGCTTGTGATCTCCGAGCCCTTAAACGTCACTGCACCTCAAACAGGAATGCCACTGTCAAGGAAATAACAGAATGGGATCAGGAATACTTCCAGAAAGCATTGTCAGTGAACACAATCCACCTGCCATCCGCCGTTGCCAGCTGAAACTCTACAGTGCAAAGAGGAAGCCATTTCTAAGCAAGCTCCACAAGCTCAGATGTTTGCACTGGGCCAGGGGTCATTTAAAATGGAGTGTGGCAAAATGGAAGACTGTTCTGTGCTCAGATGAGTCACGATTTGAAGTTATTTATGTAACACTGGGACGCCATGTCATCCGGACCAGAGAGGACAAGGATAGCCTAAGTTGTTATCAACGCTCCGTTCAGAAGCCTGCATCACTGATGGTATGGGGTTGCATGAGCGCTTGTGGCATGGGCAGCTTACATGTCTGGAAAGGCACCATTAATGCAGAGAACTATGTTCAGGTTCTAGAACAACATATGCTCCCATCTAGACGTCATCTCTTTCAGGGAAGACCCTGCATTTTTCAACACAATAATGCCAGACCACATTCTGCAGCAATCACAACATCATGGCTACGTAGGAGAAGAATCCGGGTACTGAAATGGCCAGCCTGCAGTCCAGATCTTTCACCTATAGAGAACATTTGGCGCATCATAAAGAGGAAGGTGCGACAAAGAATGCCCAAGACGATTGAACAGTTAGAGGCCTGTATTAGACATGAATGGGAGAACATTCCTATTTCTAAACTTGAGAAACTGGTGTCCTCTGTCCCCAGACGTCTGTTGAGTGTTGTAAGAAGAAGGGGGGATGCCACACAGTGGTAAAAATGGACTTGTCCCAACTTTTTGAGGATTTGTTGATGCCATGAAATATGGAAACAACAGATTTTTCCCTTAAAATGATACATTCTCTCAGTTTAAACTTTTGATCTGTGATTTGTGTTCTATTCTGAATAAAATATTAGATGTTGGCACCTCCACATCATTGCATTCAGTTTTTATTCACAATTTGTTTAGTGTCCCAACTTTTTTGGAATCCGGTTTGTATAATAAAGACAGTTTTGAAATGAAGACACTGTTAAAATACTGTATAGAACAAACCTGAATACTGTAATAACTGGACCATTGTGACCTAATTAATAAATTACAGTATTAAAATCTGCTGCTCTTTAAGCTGCAATAATCTGGGGAAAGTGTTTTACCATAGCAAAGCTGCTGACAGATCTCCTTTATTTCTCTATGCAGTTTTAAGCCTAATTTAATCTTAATATTTCAAAAACTAGTCATAGTAGAAGCACCAAAGTCATAGCTAGCACCACATGAATGAGCTTTACAATTGGACATTATAAAGACTTTAGTAAAGGTACAGGTCTCATACAGGTTTAGTACAGGTCTCTCTTGTAAATGAGTCCTCGTGACTCAGTGGGACTAATCTATATAAATAAAGGATGAATGAAAAGTGGGATAACATAAACAGCACTAGTTCTGTTGCAAAAATCTACAGAATAATAATAATAATAAAAATAGAAACAGAATCACAATATTGTGCATTTTCAAGCACACTAATAAAGAGAAGTGGGAAACCAATAATGTGAATGCTTATTAACACAATTAATACAATTCAAAGGGGCCACCAAAGTTAATTAAATATTGCTAGAAGAAAATAGGTTTCTGTGAGTTTTACAGATTTTGAGCTGAACCTGGATGTAGCTGACAATCATTTATACTCAGCTCACTAACAAATCAAGTCTTTTCTTTAAAACTTTGACGTGCAAGGTTGTGGGCAGTATGCGTTTCTCCAACAAATGTCAGTTTTATTCATTGTATTGATTGATCTTTGCTAAAATCATTAGTAACATGTAGTTTTTTCTCAGATTAATTATTATTATGTGCTGTTTGTTTTACTTTGAACAGACATTTGACTGTAACACGGTGTGCCTGTCAGAACTGGAGTTTACAACAGATTTCTGCTTGAAGATGATTGCCACTACAGACTGCACGGTAAGAAGCACATTTACACACACACACACACAACACATCAACACAATTGATGGTTAAGTCAAGACGCTGTGATCCAAAGACACTTGATAAACATGCATTACTTCTGAAACGGCTAATTTACTATCTTTCCATATTTTATTTTGCGGGCATTTCATCTGTATGCTGAAAGTGATAAACAATAACGCTGAGTTACCAACATGTACAAAATGTTTTTTTCTCTTCCCACTACAAGGTTTGCTTTATTTGTTAAATTGGTGTCAGTCCTGCTGTCAAACATTAGGGACTAAAATATGACCAGAAACTCTTCTGTTCATCCAATATTAACTTCTGTCATTTGAGATTGTGTCTGAAAGGAACAAGGCAGTGCAAACAGACAAGGCATCAGTCAACTCATGTTGATGGATTGTGTTTGTTTTAAAGAGAACGTCTGTCATTTTGATATTTCATATTTTCTAATTCAATCAGAGATATGAAGCAAATGTGATTTCAAATGACACATGTCATAGAACATAGTAAATGCTCACAGCTTGCTATCCTTGTTGTTCGCTCTAATGCCAACTCATATTTTTATAGCAGCCTGTGCATGTTATATAATATAACAGACGTACTCTGGTTTTGTAAAATACAATGATAGAAATAAAATTTACTAACTGTGAAGAGTGCAAGCTACCATGCTAGGACTATCAAAAATAATTGTCCTTTTTATGGTGAATAGCACAATAATTATATGGATCTGGATTTTTTTTATTAGTGATGCCTTAATGTGTTTGTCACATAAAGGTAATGACTACTGTGCAATGGCATTAAGACCAGTTCAAAAAGAAAAAAACAGATCAATAAATTAAGAACCAAAATCTGTACTTTTTTTCCTATTGGTGGTTACTTTGTATTTAGCTTTGCTGTTTTATGCTTATCTTGCTGTCATAATTTCATTATTGGTTATGCAAATAGGCCTTTTTAGTAAAAAACAACAACTTCAAAGTGAAATCAAATGTCAACAGTGTAAATACCAATTGTATAAGAACGTGATGTAAAAATGTAACTGCATAAATGTTTATTTCTTTTAAAGTAAAGTTCCTAACTCAACTCGTAGAGAACATTATTTAATGTACGAGACTGGGGATTGATACAAAAGAATTTCCAAAACCCTAAACATCCCAGGAGTTGGGTTAAATCAAGTTAAATCAACTTAAAATCAAATTGATTAAATCAAGGTCAAGGTTCTTTATTCTCATTCACATCACATGTGTCACATGTGGTGGAACAAAATTGTGTACACAGGGTCACAGTTACATCCAACAAAAATATAAATTGTAACGAAAAACAGTAATAAGATCTAAGATATGAACTAAGAAATACGCTCAATTAAGAATACTCTAAGCACTAGTAGTACAAAAACAAAACACCGAACAACAGCAGCACGAACATGAGTCTGTGTGAGCAGATGAGTATGAATGAACACAGCAGCATGAAATAAATGATCAGCATGAGATCAGCATCATGGATAGTCAGCAGCACATATCAACAATCAAGTGGCATTACAGTGATTTTTTTTCACAGTGATAATCCTGATAAGGGATTCATGAGTCTAACAACTTCAGGGTAGAAGCTGTTCCTCAGTCTAGTGGTTCTACACTTAATGCTCCTCAACCTTCTGCCTGAGGGGAGCGGGGGAAAAAAGTGTGTGCGCTGGGTGAGTGGGGTCCTTCATGATGCAGGTGGCCCTCTTCCTGCATCTGGTTGTGTAAATGTCTGTGATGGTGGAGAGGCTGACTCCAACATCTTCTGTGCAGCCTTCACCACTCTCTGCAAAGCTTTTCTTTCTGCAGCTGTGCAGCCTCCATGCCACACGTTGATGCTGGAGCACAGGATGCTCTCCTCTGCACACCTGTAGAAGGAGGTGAGGACTGAGCTTCCCAGTCCAGCTCGCCTCAGCCGTCTGAGGAAGTAGAGTCTCTGATGAGCTTTCTTGATCAGGCTGGTGGTGTTGTTGCTCCAATCAATCATGAAGATAGAAGGAATATAGTACACGTGTAAATCTGCCAAGAGCAGGCTGCACTCACAAACTGTGCAAGAAGGAGAATAGTGAAATAGGCCAACAAAACATCTGTGACCACGCTGAAGAAGTTACAAGATTTAGCAGCTTGGGAGATTCTTCACCAGACTGAGCTTTATGGGAGAGTGGCTGAGAAACAGACAATGTTGAAAAAAAATATTTTTAAATCTCAACTGGACCCAACCCTGCTTGTGTCAAGTCAAGTCCTAAATCCGGTGTAAAACACTAGAAAGGGTGTACATGCAAAACAAGAACAGCCAAGATTCTAGCTCATGGGCTAACTCTCACTTTGCCTAATCCAATCTAATAAGCAGCTTATATAAATAAGATAAATTAAGATTTGAGTTCACAACCCTCTGAGCATTAGACTAGAGTTAAAAACATTTAAACTAAATTTACTGGTCTAGCAGAGGTTTGAAAAAGCAGCATGTCAAAAAGCTGTCTTTTTGTGTCTTCACTGAACTGCTTGATCCCATATAGTTGATTTTAAAATTGCTTTGTTCATTTTCTTTTCTTTTATGTCAGGCAGCAGATTCATTCTTTTAATTCCACCTAGATGCTTTTCCTACTTATGTCCAATTCTGCAATATTTGTGTCCCTATGCAGAGTACGGCAGACTAATGTAGGTCAATCATGTGCAGTGTTTCCCCTAGGTCACTTGCCTTAGCAGGGCGCTCATCTCTTCAGGGATTTTTGCTGACAGGGAGATGGAGACAATTCAATTCAGACAGACATGTCTATGTTGCGTGCTAGCTTAGCGCTACGTTAGCACCGGCAGTTGTCGACCGGGGAAGTGGGGGTGATGCGTGAGCAAAAGGGAGCGCTACTTCTGTAGCTTTTTAGCTAGCGTGTCTGTATTGCGTGCCCCTGGCAATTGTCGACAGGGAGGGGGTCCATTCAGTTCTGTTGAAAGGGCAGGCCGCGCCCCTTGGATAACGGTAGGGGAAACACTGATATGACTCAAGTGTCACTGTGGTTTTCAGCAAATACAATCAAGCGTTTTGTTTCCATTAATTGCATACCTACATTTCAGAATTGCACATCAGTATGTCTGAGAAACAACTGGATTAAACTATTTCAAACTGCACCATTTTGTATAGTTTAGGTTAATGTTTTTTTTTTATGTTTTATTTACTATTTTGCAAAGAATACCTTTAAATGTTCAGGTTAGTTCATTTGCTGGGATGGGGGAGTGGTAGCGCAGGGGTTAGAGAAGATGGGCCTGTGATTGTCGAAGGTCGCTGTTTCAACTCCCTGGACCAACAACATCAAAATATGGGTGGGAAAGGTGAAGCGCACACACCTGCCTCCCCCATCATTTGCCCCGCTCTGGGCCCCTGAGCAAGGCCCTTAACCCCCACCATCTGCTCCCCCGGGCACCCTAGATAGCAGCTCTCTGCTCCACACAGAGGGTTGTGGTAGCTCGGTGGTCTGTGGTTGCATCAGGAAGTGCATCCTGCATAAAAACAAATGCCAAGTCTTCGTGGGACTTCGTTCACAGTGGCGACCACTAAGGAAGGGAGCACCCGAAAGAAAACAAAAATTATTCATCTGCTGGGTAGGGCTGGGCGATATGGACCAAAATTAATACCTCGATATTTT